TCATCAATGCAGTGTTAACTTCGCGAGTGAGTGACAGGAGAAATGAGACACCTAATGGAAGAGTCGGTTATAAACAGGCTACCTATCTTTCTACAGTAAAGAGAGAAATTCAGTAGCATCAATGAAATGAAATAAAGGAACCATATCCGCTACATTATCTCTAAGGTATGCATTATTAGCAGTCAATAGTCTGACAGTATCGGTCGCAGACTCCAAAATATTCAGCTTAATTTTTGAGTGTCTCAATCTTAATTACACCCGCATACTCGGTCACCATGAAACCAAGTTCTCCAAAACATGGAGGTGTAAGAACAAGAAGTGGGCTATAGCGGAACCAGTAGCGTGGCTTGTCTTCTATCACGGGTTGCAATCCAAAACGAGCGACATGAGAGGGGAATGGGGGACCAATGAACTGCAGAGGCTGGGTGACTGCGTTTTGATTTGCATATGCAGCTCTGCGTCAAGCAGGTCAGCATCCTCATGGTCTGCAGAGTTCTGGCGCAGGAGGTTAATTGGCTGGTGGATTTCTCCAAAAGCGCGTGATGTGATATTTCTCCGCATCTGCAGCCACCCAGTCATAGCATCTCATTCCATTAGTGATATGATCCGATATGTACGTTGTTTTTCCAACCCAACAAAACTATGATCCGATATAGTAGCTATATTGAAATGTGGCTTACGGATTGCACTGTCAGCCGCAGGGGCACGTCTTGTTGCTTGGAAGTGGTGTGCTCGGGCGAGAAGGATGTGTGTGCTCTGAAGATTCATGAGGGGGACTGAGCGACTTCCCAGTGCCACACCACCAAGAGTTATGTGTAACCTGATCACAACAGGAGTCCCGGTTGACATTCGATTAGGAATGCCGAGGGGATTGGCTCCTGGGTATTCGTGTCCTATTGACTATCGGGATACTCACTAGAGGCATTCTATGATAAGACACAGCCGAAACTTTAAATTCAGTTGGGTAATCGATTCACATGTAAAACATGTAATCTATCTCTTATCCTGTTGACCTGCTTTTCCCAACATACTTTCTGGCTGTCAAAAGGACCATAATCGGCCCCAAGCGGGAGCCAGTTCAACAAGGTCATTTGACTTCGGCCACCTCCGCCAATTGATATGCATTGACGGGCCAATAGCGATCGCTGGATATGGGGATCTGAGACAAGGACATGTGAGTGTTCCTGTGCTCTACCTCGTCCTCCTTCTCCTCACCTGGGTTGCGCTCCCGGATTCTCTTTGAGGGGATGTGGTTTGCCGAAGGATGCAAGGATTGATTGATTGAGTGATTGATTGATTGCTTCATTGATTGATCAGCCATGCGCCGCCAAAAGGCCTCTCCCTCGTATTACTGGAACGGGCAATTGCGTGCTGAGATCAATGGCTGTCCTTCTCTCTTGAGCCATGTCTCCAGTTGACCCGGCATCCATCCCCAGGGACAGCATTTTTTGAACAGTCATCCACGGGAGGGGTCATGCCAGGATGCAAACAGACGCAAAGCGAGAATGGCACGGGGGTCTGCCGTTTGATACCCAATGATCACGAGCACGCGCCCAGATGATCTGGAGGTGCGGACGTGGCCGGCTAGCACCGGGCGCGTCTGGGAAGCAGACAGCACCAGAACAAGGGAGAGCCCGACTCTTTATTATTAACTATTGGGGGGGGCCGCTCGCCGGATGCAGGAATGGAGGCTCTTGTGTTTTAGGCGAGGAATCCGAAGATTTGTTCTAGAACTTTGCTCCACCGCAATCAATCCCCCTTCCCAGGGCAAACGCCCAGGTCCGGCTGGCAACCCTCCCAGGCAGGCCAAGAGCTTCCCCCCCTTGCACCAAAACGTGGGGGTTTTTGCCCGGTGACAGGTCGATAACCTAACGGAAAGGGCCAAACTACTCAAACGGTTAGGTGCCTCGGCGCGGGTCTATCTTTCTGGCTGCCCTTTTCCTTTTCCCATTGCTAATCGTGACACCCATAGACTATCGGCCAGCCTCTCTGCTCACGCAATCTTGCGGCTTCCTTGCGTATCTTGGAGGGCTTCATTAGCCACTCATTCCTCCACGCTGAGACGGTGAGGGCCAGCGGCGGGCAAGTCGTACACCGGCTTGACTAGTTTTGGCCCAGTTTCCTGGTTCATGCTGCAACTCCCCGGTCCCTGGTCGCGGATCCCAATATCCCTGCCCCGGGGAGAGAGAGGGAGAGTTGGGCCAACTTGCACTGAGGCGTGCCAGAGAGCGGCGGCAAGGAGCATACGCCCGGTGCTCCTAGATTTACGCCCAAAAGCTGACGGGGTTTGCTTCTTGTCTTACTTTAAGCCCTGTCGTCGGTGAGGGCCGGTGAGCTATTTACTTTTTCCATAGGATTCGGCCAAGACGTCAAGGCGTTGTCAAGGGGGGCCAGTAAGCGTAACGATGTTACTGCTGTTATCATGATGACAAACCAGATATGTTGCGAGAATACTGCGGGAGATAAAGAAGGTTGATGGCTGTGGTATCATGGGAAAAGGGACCGGGTTTGGGGTTGTGAAACGGCTGACTGTCACCATAGGCCCTGATACTGGGCTGGGGGATATCTTTCCGAAGCTGGCCGAGCTTAGCCATTTGACATGGAACCGAGGCGCACCTCTCTTGTCTTGGGCTGAAGGGGTTGTACTGAGAACTTGCGTTCTGGGCATGTACATGTTGGATGATAATGGTAAATATGTGGTCACGATTCCCTGAAATGGTTTGAATTAGCGAGCAGCCCAAGAGAGAGGCGTCGACGATGTCGGGGCTACGCTTAGAGTTGCCTTTAGGACCGACCCGTATCGTAAAGCTGTTGGCTCTGACAGATAGCTCTTTTCTTAATCCATGCTCCGCGTAGGAGAGATAGACAGTGAGAGCCATTGCTGCCCAAGCCCTGTGGGCCTATCCCTGGACCCCTTGAGCCCCTTGAACTCGGACTCTCAAAGTTCCCATGAGCGGGCCCGAGCAAGCATAACACGGGCATGCCACGTAATGGGATATTTTCTTCTTCTCAGCATGGATGACAAAATTGCGATGCCATGATTGTTTTACTTGTATATTCAAGCCATGGTCAATACTCTGGTGTGGCTAGGACTCTCACCGTCTCGTCCGGAAGCCATTGCTAAGGTAGGCAGTTGGGGGAGATGACTTCTCAGCTTAGCCGCCTGTAGTCGCATCTAGGAGGAGATAGCAGATGGCACTACGGCATTGCCATCTTGGCCCGTCACTGGCCTGTTCTGCCTCCTTTCAAGCCTCTAAATTGCACAGACGAGAAATATGGATCTTCGGCCGGAGCTGGCGTCCTGGCCCCAGCCCCAATGCGACTTGCGTGTTTGGATTTTCCTGATGTGATGTGTCGTCTCTGGCCAGAGCTCCGGTGTGCTCAAGCACCACAGACTCTCCCTTGGCAAGGTTCGTGCCCAGGAACAGGTTGGGTAGGTACCGTAGTAGGCTGTTGCGCTGCGGCGTGGCCCCGTGCTGCCGCTAATTGCGACGAGGCGGTACCTAGAAAGCGACCGGTTAGCGGATGGTCCTCTGGGCAGTGGAAGGCGTCGGGATCCAAAACATAATATAAACCGGACCATCCACCTCTCATTTGTATTTATTGCCTCTTGGATTCATGAGGGGCCAGACATGATAGCCATTGTCCCGTAGAGCTCTTCTCGAGACTCTGTGCCTGTGCCTGTGCCAGCCCCCCTCGGGCCCTTGGGTCGCCCTTTCCACTACGGCTGCGACTGCGACTGCGACTTTCGGTTGTTCGAGACCGACCAGCTGGATTTCCCCCTTCAGGCCACTCCGAGCTGTCACAGGTACCTCTTCTCTCACTTTCCTTTTTCCTTGGGCCTGAAAATCCTTCCTTGCCCATACCTTCGCGGAGGCAGGCAATTGACTGATTGCCCGATGTTATTAGTACGACCTTCGCTGCCTCTTCTTTCCCACGCCCGCCGCTCTCTTCCTCGCACCGCCCGTCCATTGCACTCATTGTTCAGCCTCTCCGGTTGTTTGCGACGTCATATTGTTTCTTCTCCCCAGGGAGCCCGCCCCCTTGCCTCCCCCCACACGGCTGCTGCAAATCGATTCCATACGGAGACAGGACGGCCTTCGGACCGGCCCCTTCTGATCACCTGCTGCTCTACCGCGTGCGCGATCGCATAATAAGGCTCCTGGACTGGCGCATTGTCCCAACTGCACCCTTGTCACGAGGCACATGTAGTCACAGCGCGCACTACCTGCATGCTCCTGCATGCAGCCCTCAACCACCCTAGACTGCTAGTAGCCGACAACCTTCTCTTCGCCCTGATAACCAGAAGAGAAGAAGCGAAAAAAAAAGCTTTTATTCATCAGCCTCCGGCTTGTTCACATGGGACTCGGGCCCCCCTCTCTCAGCACCCAGCGGCCCCTTGCACACACCCAACGTCCATCTTTTTGTCCAACCGTCTGGTGAAGCGTTCCTTTATTACGGCAACCATCGCGATTCTTATCAATTATCCACAAATTCCTTCTAGAACATTGGCCGCCAATTCCTGGAAACTTGCCGTTTTGCGTGACATTCCTTTGCAGCTACTCGAGTCAGGTTTGCTCACCGACTCAAAGACACTTGGGCCGGATCACCGCTACGACCAAGGCAACCCCTTGTTGATTCAGGCCGCTCCCCAGGAAAGGAAAAGGAGGCTTCCTCGCAACTAGGCTTTTATCGTCATTCGTTTCCTTTTTTCCTCACCGTCTTCTCATCTTCGATCTGCCCGGCCCTACTAACGTCAGGTTATCCTAAGAAAATACACGGCTCAAGGTCGATTGATGACAGAGACTATGATTGTTGCCATGACTCGGGCTCGGTGATCTCACTGGATCCTACTTGTGCTCAGACATTGTGTGCACAGTTGGCCAACTGAGGATCCATTTATAATAAGCTTATCCAGCTTGTGAATATTTCAGTCGAGCTGACCGCGAGAGCCAGCTCGAGCTTGTTTACTTCGAGCCAACTGGCAAAAGAGCCGCAAAATGGACAACCCGGATCATGTTGCGCTGCCGAAAGGCATCGTTGTGAACACGAGTACTATTTATCAAGAGGTTGCCAACTTTCCTCAGGTGCCTCCTGACCAGGTCTGGAAGTACTGGAGAGGTATGCTTGGACCTCCCGTTGCTAAGCCTTACATTTACTGAACCTGTTTACTAACTACAACATCGTGTTTTAAGTGTACACAACTACAAACAAAAAGCTTCAAGATCCTATCGCCCGGCGGCTCGAGAACTTTTGGTGGCATGTATTGGGGAGTGACCGACGTCTCCTAAGTGGCAATGTTTTGGCCTCGATATACGAGCATATCTCATTGGGACCGACTTTTGTGCCGTTGAGAGGGCCGCCAAACCGATGGGAAGGACCAGATGTAGGCTTCCCCTACCCCCCTCCTTCTTCCCATTATCATGCCACTAGACGAATTTGATCTCATCTGACCAAATCTAGAGCTTTACTCCGAGTAGACCAACGGTTCATCTTGCAGGGAACAGCCAGCAGGGTGAAATGCTGGCTGATGGCAAAGGGCCTAGCAAGTCTGACTTAGTTTTGTCTAGCGCTTCTAGGCCCCCTCCTGCTCATCCCATCTTGAAGAAGCCCAGAGGCCCATCGACAACAGGGCCTCGCCCTACGGCACGTTTTATCTCACCCCATGAGTCCGAGGAAGAACAATATATGGAAGGCGACATTCCATCCTCGGGAAGCACAGTCACTCCGGGATTAGAAATGCGAACGCCCAACCCTTCACCACCCAAGAAGAAAGCACCAGTGCAAGCCAAAAAGTTTGTCGCCTCTGCTGGACATTCGAAGAGACGGCCAGTGATACGCAGAAAGTCCAGCTCCCAGTCCTCCGGGGTGCCGAAACTGACAAGCAAAGATGCCGCGGCAGCCCCAATCTCTCAAAGTCCCCAGGAGGTCCTTTCACCTAAGACTCCTGTAGCACCTGATGTTCCTGGCCCATCAAGTCACGAAAGCTCGAAAGCAACTCATAATACGGGTTCAGTCGACTCCAACAGAACGCAACACCTAAGCGAAAAGGCAGCTGGAAAGAGACCAGCCGTCATGAGGAGCGCTACTACTGACAAGACGACGAGAACATCGAGGCCACAGCCACCTTTAATGACCCGGCAATCTTCGCACCATGACTTGATATCAACTAGAAAATCGCTTGCGAAACTCTCGGAAGGTGTCCAGGACAACCACAGTCCATTCCACAAAGAGATCGATGCACACGAAGTATCAAGTCCACCGAACGCTCCCGCGCCGATGCTTCGATCCCAGTCCCACTCTGGATTTATTCGTCCTAGAGAAGGGATTCATATAAAGGCGCCAAATCCAAAGTTGTTTACTGGTGCGACTGCTTCGACGACGAACATAGCTGCACAGGGAACCATCATTGACCAGGCCGGGAGTGTTGGATCGCTTCCAATCACCCACCATTTTGGACACCGATTCGACGAGGACGTTTCACCAACTTCCTCTTTACTAGATTCCCACCTCACGCCAACCCAGCCAAGTACCTCGGCCAGTGTTCCGCTTGGCAGAACCAAGAGCCAATTAACTCTTCTTCTGGAGAGGGAGAAAGCTAGGGCAGGCAACAAGCCCCGATCTAGGAGCTAGCCACTTAACCTGTCGAGGATTCGGTGTTCTTAGTACTGAATTCCGTCTAACTGGCTTTATTTGGCATACTTCCCATGTCATGGTGGTGCATGGGTTTTCTATTTGCCAGCATATACGTTTGTACCATAGGTTTGTATAAAACTCACGTTAAACCGCAAAGGGATGACATGTAATAAGCATTCGTATAATGTCGCGAGAGTGCTCTGCGTGCAGGTTTCATTCTCAATAGCATCCAAGCGGACAGACCAAGCAAGAATAATCAATCGATTACGTTTGAGCGCGCAACGAGTAAGATCCATTTTCACTTAAAACAAGACGCAAGTCTAGTCGCATGGCGTATTTCCTGCGTAGATAGACAATAATTTAATTCTTAATATGTAGCTAGCCAAATCTTGTACACTTTGCCATCTGAAGAACAAATGTACGGACATGTCCACACTATCACCATTTCAAAAGTAGCTTCTCATGTCCATGTCATAAAACGCGGCAAAGCCTACGTGAAGAACTGCAGTCATAACACTGGAGATGATAGGAAAAGTTTAACAGTCCAACGAGCGATGATCAAACGCTGGTGAACAGGGTAGGCCAAGACCGGTCTGTGTCCCGGTTGCGGGCTCGCCTTGCTTCATTACGTTGAGCCATGAATCCAAGATTTTCCAGAAGATAAATGAAACGATCGCCCTGCCCTCAGAGTATGCTTGCCTTGGCTCATCCGGGTTGTAGCTACCTTGAAGTTGCGCACCTAGGTACCTCACGAGTGGCTGTTCGGATAGTGTGTGCTCATTGCCATTGAACGAGCACAGACAGCTGTCAGTAACAATTGGGGAGTGAATATGAGATTTGACGCAATAACCCTTGGGTGCTTTAGAATAAAGAGGACAAGGTTGATTCGCAAAACATGGTTTCGACAGAAACTCTAGAGACTCAACATACATTAAAGCGATATGGACTTTTCTTGTTATTCAGAGGAGTTATCGTCAAGGCTTAGCTATGGAATTCGGGCTCTCTCGATATTTCGAGCTACCCTATGCACATCCCCTCCCGTAACCATTGTGGTGGTTTATTATCACAACGCCTGATGTCGGTTAGGTTGTGTTTGCTTTCCTATACACTCGCCTAGTATACCCAACGATCACTTCCTCCTCTATATGTCTAAGCGTCGCATAGCCGATGGTTGACCAATTATGAGACACTGACTCGTTCTGTCTCACGACCATGCATGAAGAAGATATGAACATTTGACTCCATCGCAGAGTGCGAGGAGCCGTTGCAGTGGTATTATGTGTGTATGTCCCAGACTCATTTCCCGCTAGAACAACCCGAATACTAATGAGTGCAGCAAGCATCCCGCCTTGATTACATTTGTTCCCTTTTGACAGAATACCCATAAACCCCAATGCTTGTTCCCCGTGTCTACCATGCACCCAAATAAGGAACATTAACCGTGACCAACAAGTAATAGCAAGTAATAATAATGAAAATGGTGACGGGTAGCAATAATACTACCAATAAGAGTAATAAATAATGATAATGAATGGAAAGCTATAAGACAATGAATGAAGAGGGTGAAAGCCGCGGGTGGCCGCGGCTGCCGTGGCTGAAGTCATTACAATAAGGATTGCTTTTGCGAACCGTTGTCCAAAAAAAAAATCATATCCAAAGAAGAGTTATGTTAGGGTAGTGTTTCTGCTAACAACATCTCAGGAAGCTTGGTGATTCAGTACCAATCTCCTAATCATTGAGACCGAACATTTTGCGTAGTGTGCCAAACTTCTTCTTCTTGCCCATAACCTCAGAGGGTGTTTCTTCCTGTTCTTGACCAGCATATGGTGGAACGTAAGGAGGCACCTCTTGGTGAGATAGGCTTCGGCGCTTGAGAAAGCCCCGCGAGGAGGCAGAGGGACCTGCACCAGAACTGGTTGCAGGGCGTGGGATAGGAGCTTCGGCGGCTGCTTTGGGCTCGCTTTGGGGCCCTTCTTCGCCTCCGTCCGGTAGAGGCCAGCTAGGACCGCGCTTCTGGGTTGGGAGCCGGCTGCCACTGTTGCTCCGGATCATGGCAAGCTCTTCGGTACTTCGTTCAAGTCTTGTGTCGCGGCGGGCAGCACTCTCGTTGATTTCCCGCGTTATCTTGTTCCCAGGTGATTTCTTTCTGCGGAGGATGCTGGACATGAAACTGTTCTTGCGGGTATGAGAGGGCCGATCCCCTAGGCCGTCGGTACCAATGAGGCCAGCATTAGAGGCCAGCTCACCACGCCCGGACCGATTCCGTTGCACTGGAGGACGCCCATTGCCAGTCACGGAGGAACCACGCTTTGGTTGGACAATTTCATCATCACTGTCCGGAAGATCAGGTGAGTCTGCCCTGGGCTGGGCGGGAGGGACGCCCAAGGCTGCAGCGGCTGCCGAACTGGCACCTTGACTCGTCCTCATTGTCTTGGCGAAACCGCGTTGTTTGTGAGAGGACAAGGGCCTATCATCCTCATCACTGGAATCAGCAAAACGGCTTCTGAATATCGACGGGCGCGCATCTTCCTCATCGCTTGAGTCTGCAAAGCGGCTTCCCAGCTTGCCCTGCTTTGCTTTCTTGCCCGAGGATCGACCAATAGAGGAGAAACGTTTGTGTTTGGTGTCTGTTGAATCGCTTCGCAACGACTGCTTCATTCCTCGCCCGCCAGTATTTGTTGATGCTGGCGCTTGGAAGCTTGGACGGCGGAATGGTGATCCTGGTGGCGAGAGGGAACGAAGACTGAAGCGGCCACTGCCCTTGGAAGAATGTTGCGGCTCTGGCTCCCTCATTGATCTCCGGAAGCCAAATCCCTCTGCATTACCTCTCCGTGAGCGTTTGAAGCTGCTCTCGCTCGAGTCAGACCCACGCCTTCTCAATGTAGGCTTCCCGCTTGCACCGCCTATACCTCCTGACGATGCTGGGCGCCCATTGAGTATCATCGATCGCTTCGTGTCGTTTGATGGCTCAGTTGTAGAACCTGGGTGGTATGATGATGGACGGGTGGTGTGTGAATCCCCAGCATCCCCATTGGAACGTAAACTTTTGCGCATAGAACCGCTTGGTCTTTGGGGTTCTCCCAATTCTTGAGGCTGGTTCCCTCGCATCGATTTGCGGAAGGGTTTCACGGGTGCATCCTCCCTGGTAGATACCTTTGGCCCTCTGTGTGATCCATCGACCACCTGCGAATTCTCGATGGCGCCGGCGATCAGCGCCTGCCGATCTGCCGAACGCCTCTTCTTCTTAGTTTTCTTTACTTTAGACGGCGCCTCTTGATCGGCTTCCTCGGCTGCTTCCTCCATCGCTTCGACCTCAAGCTGGCGGCGCTTATCAGAGGAGAGACTACGCCAATATGCCTTTGCATTCTCCCAGTCCTGTGAAGTTTTAGGCGACACCTCGGGAACCCCACTATCGGAGATTGATGTTGCAGCTGTTTCGTTTTCTTTGGCCTGGGACAGAGCCTTCTCGTAGATCTTGGCCATTTTCCCGCTTGTGGGAGATTCGAGGACGGCATCCAACGACATGAAACCATCACCCTCTATATCTGACAGGTCTTCATAGGCGTCACTGTAGATGCTGCTCCCATCTGTGGATTCCTCCTCCTCCTTAATATCTCCCATAGGCGAGCCAGGGACAGGCGCCTCCTCAACTTCGGCCAGTGCTGGCGCTTTTGAAGGCTGGGTGATTATCTCGAGAGAAGGTTTGTCATTTCCGGCAACAACAGGTGCAGAAGAGCCGTCCTCAGGAAAGCCGCCCGGGACATCGAAGTAGTCGCTAGCGGGTGAAGTGTCATCCACGTCCTTCAATAAAGGGCTGGGGTTTGTGATGGAAATCATTGGAACATCTTCTGGCCGCCTGAGCAGCGTTTGATTTGTCACTGGTGAACCATCCTGTGCGTGTCCATTCCCGTCCAAAGATTTTGAATCTGTAGCAATAACTGATGATTTCTCTTCGGAAGCAGCCTCTTGCCTAGGTGGCTGGGTGAGATCTTCTTTTGACTGGGAATCATAGTGTTGCTCTGTGAGTTGAGTGGACCGAGCAGTGTCTGAATCGTCCAATTCATCATCAGAACTCGAAGGACTATTGCTCAAGTAGTCTATCATGTCAACAGACTGCACAACTGGCGGGAGTGGCTCTCGTGCTTTAGATATATTGGCCGCATTCCGGGATGCATTCTCTTGTGCCGAAAGAGATCCAACAGGAGAATCGTTTGACAATATTGATGCTTCTGGTCCCGGGCCCGGGGACCAGATCTTCTCTGAAGGGCGAACAAGGGGACGCTCGTTATCGGGCTCTCGTGGTTTCTTGTCTCGCACGCTACCGAACAGTGGTAAAGCAGGCCTGGGGGACATGGTTTCACCTTCATCCACGACAGGCCTGTCCTTTTTCTGATGCCGTGTGATGACATTGTGCCATGGCTTCTTGGCTTGTGGGCTTGGTAATGCTGGAGGGCTCGGTTCCCGCGGTTCGGCTGAATCTCCAACAACCACTGTATTCTCATCCGTGAAACTAACGCGAAAGGCTTTTTTGGTGGCTTGGACGGAGCTGTCTCTGGAATACTGCCCACTCACTGACCCCGAGGCCTCAGAGCTATCATCAGATGGGCCACTGCCTCGGACGCTGTTAGATTGCTTCAAAGCTGATTTTCGAGGGGAAATTGATCTGGGAGGAGGCTCATGGCGAACTAAGAGCTGGGCTGTCGTCGGCGCAAAGTGCGCAGATCGCGCCGGTGAATGCGAAGGGCTCTGTGACTCGACCCGAGTTCTTCGGACTTCCCTTGCCTGTCCACGTGGTTCGGGAATTGGAGCTGCAACCGGTTCTTGAGACTGGGACCTGTCTTCGCTCGATGCCGTTGGTACTTGTGTGTCAGAAGTAGGGGCAGAGACTGCAGAAGCGACGCGATCTGTCTCCTGAGCGCTGCTAGAGTCAACATTGTTGCTTGTGCCATCCTCCCCATCCGTTTTCAAAGACGACTTATTGACCTTCAGAGGAAACGAGCGGGGCGCATTGGGTGCAGGACTCGGTACCTCAGCCTCAGAGCTGGTGGTGGTACGTGGGGGAGGCTCTGCGTTGCTCGCATTTGACTCCACGGCCGGTACTCCTTGATGTTTGATTTCTACTGGTTGCGCTGACTTGGCTGGCTGTATCGCGCGGCCTTCCGTTACTGCTGCTCGCTGCGTTTTTGATGTCTCTGCTGGGCGAGTCTGTTCACGGTCTAGAGATTCTGCAACCAGAGCTCTCGCCACTTCGACATGACTACCAACTGGCAGTGATACTTGCTTCTTCTTTTTCGCCGGCTTTTCTGGTGTTCGCCGATGATGTTGCTTTTCTATGATTTCCAATTTGGGAACCATTCTCCTAGAATTGGGGTCATAGACCATTGTAACCTCTGAACTAGACGGTGCAGATAGTGTAGGTGACTCTACCGTCGCCCTGGGATACGAGAAGTTGATTGAGGGGCTGATACTTCCAGGTCTGGCATCGTTGGCGTCGGTGGAGGTTCGCGACACAAGATCCGTCGTCCTAATGCTAATGTTGCCACTGCCATGCTTGGTCCTCTGATTGGTAGTTCGGAATGACTGCTTCTGAGGCTCGGTTTTCGGTAAGCTGGGAACAGGAGGGGCATCGTGTGGTACTGGTGCCGGGTTGCGGCCAGGCGAGGGTGACCTGAAAGTGCGCTCGGTCATAGAGCTGGCACTGGGTGACCTCTGGAGCTGTTTCCCATGGCGCGATCGGTCCGGGCTCCTCGTGGCAGAGGCACTCCTCCGCAGAGCGCGCTTTGACTGGACTTCGGCGACATTGGTCGGGGTGGTAGGACGTGCTTTGAGTGCGGCGGCTGCGGCGGCGGATGATAATGAATTCGAGGGCTCGCTGCGCATGAAAGCCGAGGCCGCGGCTGTTGCCGCGTTTGGATTTGCAGTCTCGCTCGTCAGAGGCTTTAACAGAGGCATGTCAGCGCAAAGATCGATATCAATGTTCGAGAAGGCGGAGCTGGGCGAGGGCCAGTGGTTTCACGGGAGGGCGAGGTGGAGGGCGACCAGGGCGAGACAACGGACGTTGCGACAGGAGCCACAAACGAACGACCAGCGACAAGACGTTGTGAGGGCTCGATGACGACGTCCAGACATAATTAAGCAAACAGCTGGGCGCACACTCGAGCGACGGGTCCCGTGGTCAAGCGTTGGCCGGCGCAAACTCTAATGCTTCAAGCGAACAGCGGGAGATTTCCGAAACATACCTGAACAGGAGGACGACGCCTGCGGGAACCACCAAACATGGTGACTTGATGATGGCTCGCTGTGCCAGCAACTGCTAAAGGCCGGTTATGTCATGGGGTAAGGCAGGCAAGGAGGCAGAAGAATTGAATAATTGACTGGATGAAGAATTAAATGGATAATGAATAATTAAGAAGTTGAAATGACGGAGACTTGCAGGTTCGCGGAAGAGGTGGATTCGATCTGGGCCAGGAATAGCAGGTACTAGTAATCAGGGTGAAACGACACGGACGGGCAGTGGCCAGACGGGATGGATACCCAGGGAATAATTCGAGATGGGCCGGCACTCGACACTCGACAAGCGCATCCCAGTCGCACCACGTATGAAGCACAGCGACCGCCGTCACCACCGACCATGGAAGCTCGGTCCACACCAGATGGACAGCAGAAGCGCAGGCTGTTAGGGCTTTCGTGATCGATTCGGATAGGTCCAGCGTGCTGACAGGGGGAGCTGGCTGAAGCTGAGAGTGTTTGGGAAGACACAGCAAATTAGCACCACTGTACGTACCTCAATGCGCCTCCCTCATTGGCGACAGGGAGCGTCCACTGCAGTCAATGACGACAGAGCCCCATCCTTAGGCCTCACTAACACCACCTTAGCATTCCCCCCACCACAGCGCGGTACGCCTAAAACTCCTCCAAGAATGACGCTCTCGACACCAGGCACTGGCTGCCGATCCCTGCCTGTCTCTGCGCGGGCGGGCATGACGGCATCCCGAGATCTTTCGCGCTGGGATGTTGAGGAGCCATGCCAATGCGGATCGGCAACAGCCATCGGTTGCTCTCGTGGCTATCGTCAAGGCTAAGGTAACTGTTCTGGGTTCGTTTGGCAATCAAAACAAAAGCTTGCGCGTTGGGTCGACCCCTTGCGTACCTGGAAGAGGTATGCGGGTAGACAGGCGGTTGTTGAGACGGTCCGGGGTTTATAGACAACTTGCCCGATCAGAGCCTGAGTGTGTTGAAAGTAGACCCCCCTATTAATTTAGACTTACATGCAGTGAACGGGTGGAGGTTGTAGTAGAGCATTGCATTCGAACTGTGAAAGGGACAAGACGCCAAATAGCTCTAGCTGAGACCCGAGCAAAGAACAATGAGTGTGATACGCAAGTAGTAAACAGAGCCGCTCAATTCAACAAACAGCCATGAAGGCTATAGACGCTACATAAGAAGTCATGGGGACTAGTTGTACATCAAGGACTCGTCGGCCTTGTAGGAGATTCCTTGGTCTCTTTGCCTCTCACATCCAACATGTCCTTAATACATGAAAAAAACAAACTTTCCAGCAACGCTAGGGGGTTACCAAGCGTAAAGGAGCAAGCATACTGTTCCGGATGAGAGCAAGCCCGATACTTTGGAGCACACTTTCAGTCAGAATCCTACTATGGTACTGCAAGTTCAATTGTCGGAGCCCGAGGTATGCCAGCCCCCCCACTGTCAACGCTTTGTCCTCTTCTCCGACTCGGGCCTCCTCCTCTATCTTCTTCATTTTCCAGCCTCCTACTTGGCTGAGGGATGTGGTACGTCTGTTCAGACTCGGCTGTTTGTTCGTCCTCATCGTCCTCCGACTGCGTTGACTGACTATTGCCAGATTGATTGTGCGGAGACACGTTCGTTTCATATGCGCCAGCTGAGTCATGTTGATTTGCCATGCTTCCCCTAGAAGATGGTTTCCCATTCTTTTTGCCCTTTCGGGTTTTTTGTTTCGCCTTCTCTAGGAGCCGTTTCCTATCGGCCTCTTCTTGCCTTTTCTTGTGGTCCTTGATCTCGTATGACCGAAGGAGAGCCCGCGGAGGCTCTCCAAAAATAGCTTCATAATCACAAAACTCGCAAATCCAAAAGTCTTCGGGTTTAGGGGGGTTCTGATAATAGCGTCGAGCAGCTGCCTGCCGACGATCCTCTGCTCCTCTGACCAGTTCTTTTTCAAATTGCCGGCGAGTCTTTCTTCGTTCGCGATTGGAGGCCTTGGCAGGGTCCTCGTGGTGAGCTGTTGGAGCTCCGTTCATGAAGCTTGACTGCTGACCCATGTTATGTCTGGACGAGTTGGCTGCGACAAAGTTAGTAACTAGATGCATTGATTTCTGGATGATGGTACCAACCGGGCCAATGCAATGTGCCGGTGACTTGCGAGTCGCAGGTGAACGTGAATTGGGATGAGGAGGGTGTGCTTTTGCTTTTAGCAGAGTGCTGTTGCAAGAGGCTCACGTTCTCTTCTCCTTGGGGGGGTAATTTTCCCGCGTTGGCTATTGCGTTTCTAATAATACCGCTGGATCCTTCATGCTCTATTAATACTGTTAGTCGTCCATCATCATGTTGCCAAGCTTAAAATTCAGGTATTGAGAAGCAGAAGATGGCTTGATTCTCGGGGGTAAAAATATGAAGGGCGAGTTGGCAAGAAATGATGTCGTAAAATCCACCAAGAGGGCGAAGAGAAGAAGGAGAACAGGCCCAATCAACCAAATTCAAAACCGAAAACATGGCTGAGTTGAGGAAGCTGCTACCAGCAATCAAGAGTCAGGTGCGTTTTAGGGGGCTGATGCTCAGACATTGAGTTGGTTGAGCGAAACTCACTTGCTGCGGAGCAGAAGTTGACTTACCCACCACTCGTCCTTTTGTAAAAATTATAAAGAAATACTTGAGAGAACCAGGAAACGAATCCAAGGCGAGAAGGAGGAGAGAGAAGAGGACAAAGAGAAATGAAAATTATACATACCAGACGACCATTGTGATGCGCTTTTCGAGGTGCGAGAAGCTGACAAGTTGTTGCCATCAGAGAGGGCTCGTAAAGGACTCCTACAATTCCTTGACCTGCCAAGCCTGCCTCTCCCAGACCCAGACATACCCTGGCCATTTGAACCGAAGCTTCCTGTCGTGGTATACCCCGCCGAACTGTAAAGCGAATGATCATTATTGACTTCACCCGAGGGTGAGCTAGCGCCAGCAGATGTTGGATGTGAGCTCATATCGATATTAAGCCCGTGAGCCGAGTTGAGTACCGAATCGCCCGCTGAGGGGATTTTTCGTTTCTTCTTATTGTTCGTATTCTCGAATGAATCATAACCATCAACCGATGAGGGAGTCGATGGAGCGGGTTGCGTTCTTGAGCGTGATTGCTCTGGTCTTGAAGAAACAGGCACCGTCCGATTCCAAAGCTCAGGCGTAGATCTTGTAACGAACGCGCTCCTTCCTGTCTCTATTCCATCTGCTCCGTTGACCCCTCCATTTCGGCGGCCTGGGAGACTTTTTGCCGACTCAACTTGTTGCAGCCCCCCAGATGAACCCGTGAAACCGATGTTTGAATGAGCTTCCTCTTCTTTTGATGAGCAGGGATATTGAAAGAGGGGAACCGAGTTGAGCATCGAAGGTGGGTATTTTATCGACTCTGCAACCTGAGGGGATAGTCGTTCTCGAAGTCTCCGTTTCGGCAGCGGCCTAATAGGCCGGTCCGGGAAAAGATTGGGCATAGTATCTGATGACATCGTCGAATTATGATCTGATCCATGAGGAGAAGCATACCCTGTTAGCCTGTATATTAATTATTACCATGTTACGCAAGCATTACAACGACAGCCTTCCACTTCAGGACCCGGGCAACATGATGGACAAATCGTTGACGCCGAGAGTGAGTATGACATCGTGGAGAGACGGCTGGAATTTCAAAAAGACGACTGGTCAATTCGAAGAATTGGATCGATCCTTGGAGGGGGGCATCTGGAAAGAGCAAGGAAATCAAACTCGTACCCATCGTACATTGTACAGGTAGTGACCCGACGGCTTGGATACCTGAATTCGGCGGAAAGCGCGAAATGAATGAAAGCTGATTCAAATCCTAACCATCAAGCAGCCGACTTTCCTAAGATCCAAGCCAAACCATGTAATCCAAGAATATATTGCGCGGCGGATTTCGAGCTCGAGTGGGGGTTATGGGGGGCGATGGTTCGGTCAGGCTCCAAGTTATTCTATGTAGGTACTCGGTCAGCACAAGGCAGCCTCGACATGTCTTCGACACAATGTGTAGAGCTAAAAGAGGAAACAAATGAGGGTGAAAGAAAGGGAGAGCGATCGTTCTTGTTGGACGTTGACCGTCAACAACTCGCTTGGGTGGCATATGCATTGGTTGTGGGCCTTACCAAATCGACGGCCAAACACCCAGCAATGAGGGACACCTCGGTCCAGCCGTGAAGGTGTTTTCCACAAGTTGGAGACCTGGTGGCAAAAGGGAATGTTGGCTGCCAATTCGGACTCCCGTAAAGGACAGAAACGCAATTTTGATGTCGCTTGATCGAATGACAGAAGAGCAGGATATTTGATCTTGAAATGAAAACGGCAGCCGCCAGCATTTGATAGTGATGGCTTAGGTGCTGTGCGCTTAGGAGGTGCTGGTGGGCGTCACAGACCAGGGCCTGTATTAGGTAAGCAGAATTGTGAGTAATGCTCAAGAAACCTGGCCAGAAGAAACCCAGGATTGAGACATCAGTGCACAGTCTGCCTTGCGCTTACTTTATTGCCCATTGAATTAGCTTGAATAATACTCAAATATAGAGGCAATATTGCAATTATTGAAGCTGTGCACATATATTACTGTTGTTCCATCGATGATAAATGGAGAGCCCTCGATTTGGTGTGCTAATGTTCCACTTGGGCGGGTACTAATACCGACTGACTAATTCGACAGCGCCTGCATACATGAGGTCACAAGCCACCAAGCCTTGCAGAGCCGTCCGGGACATGGATGGCAAGCCTTCTTGTTGAAACGTGTGTCTAAGCCTTGTATATAATTGTATATTGCTCTCTTTCTTAAGCTTATGAGATGCAATCTAGAGGATGGCCCGCACGTTTTCCTCACTGACAGCAGGCGAAACTGGCCCTCGACTCCTGTTGAAGGTGCAAAGGGCCAAACTCTTGGGTTCAACAGCCTGATCATGTACAGTTATTCGCCCGCCAAGTACCACCACTTTTGTCGAATCTGACCCTCGAGAAAGTATTGTGTTACCGCTTGGAGGAAGGTTGAGGTTTGAGGGGCACGCGCAAAGCACTTTCCAGCTGCGAGTTGTAACCTTGGGCTCTGAAGACTGAACATGCTTGTCACACAAGGCCTTGATACCTTCATATGCCATGCGAGCAGAAAGCATGGCTGCAACGAACCCTCTCTTCGCAGCCTCTGTCTCATGCACATCGACGGAAGTGGTGAGTCGTTTGGATGCCCCGCAGCCAACGATGAGCAGCTGAAATCGCATGGGATGCCATCGACCCTGCGGGTCCGGATTTCAGAAAGGCGGGATTGGCAGTCTCACGCCGGATTTTGTGCAGCAGTGGAGCCACGCTGACTGACTGCGCTGCGCGGGCACGCTGCAGCAGCCGGAGGCAGGCAAGGCAGGTACCTACGCGAGCACTAACACAGCCATACTTTCCCGGACCAGGGACAGCTAAGACCCTGGCGCGGCAAGTACCTTTCAGCGTAGCGGTCCTGGTCAGTGCGTCGCACGCCGCCAACAGCGCGCACACAGTGGGCGCATTTCTTTCAGTCAGCCAGACCTACTGCCGCCGACCAGAGGTAGACAGTGGGCCAAGCAGAACTTGGCCATTGCCGTCCGCTCCAGCCCAGCAGCAGCCCTCATCTCCTCCACGGACCACCACCTTACCTACCACCCCCCTCTCACTTTCTTCCTCTATTCGCGAGTGCCGACTTCTGAAATCCAGATTCGAACTGTCATGCGCCAGTCTCGTCCAATTTGGCTTCCCAGCATGAGTAATCGCCAACCCGGCCTTCGAATCGACTGCTTTTCCCGGATGTCGCTGTAGCGTCCGCCTCGCCTCCTGCTACCCGTCTGCTTTTCCTGCAATCACCACCGGTCTGGCGATTCGACGTGGTCTTCCTCGAGCCGTCACTGCCAGAACTTCCCATTACTTGACTCTGGTCACACTCTCGTTATCAATTCAATCGTGAACCCCAATCACCCTCGACTCTCCACACTAAACGCCATTGCCTTTGGGTCTCTCGCGCAGACTTCTCCCGCCTCCACACGCTTCCCTTCGTCTCCAACGTTGGCCTCAATGGCTCCGCCATCTCCCCGACGTTCGTCTAGAGCTCGCGCGACCACTTCCCAGTCACATCATTCATCATCTTCTTCATCCGCGTCTGGTCGCGCCGAGCGAAATGCCAGGTCGCTGAACAAGACCCCCTCTGCAAAGTCGACACCAAGTGCTTCGCTATCCTCAGAACCCCTCGACGATCCCGAAGATACCCTCCTCGGGCGACGACGCAAGCGAGGCCAAGAAGACGATCCAGATAAGCCCGTCGGCCCAGACACTCTAGACATGGCGAATGGCAGTGACGGCATCCTCGACGAAGAGGACGAGGCCGTCAGGTGCCCTTGTGGCTCTGAAGAATATCCGGGACGTCCACTTGTGGATAGTCCGGACGCCGAATTCTTTGACGCTATTGAATTCACCGAAGACGTTACCGGCTTCTTCGTTCAGTGCGACATTTGTAAAGTTTGGCAGCACGGCGCCTGCGTCGGCATCTTCAGCGCCGAGAGCTCCCCTGATGAATACTTTTGCGAGCAATGCCGCAAAGATCTTCACAAAATCTACATTGCAAACAATGGGTAAGTTGGCATCCTGGTGCTCTTTGAGCCCACCAAGTTCTGCAGCACCACGCCCCTTCTTCCGGTTCACCTTGTGCCGCTCGTGGAATTGAATGCTAATGCGTTTCCTATTCTCAGACAAAAATACTCCAAATACCTACCACTCTATAGACAATCGCGGCCGAGCTCACGAGCAGCGTCGGTGACAAAAGACCCTCTACGATCCCCAAAGAATGGGACCAAAACTTTACGTCCCAATTCCGCGTCGCAGACTTCAAAGCGCAGGTCCACTATGAACAGTCGCGATGCTGCCTATGATGATGAGCAACTGCGCCGGGCGATTGAGGCGAGCAAGGAGGAGAATCCTCTTGACAGCGAAGATGCTTCATTACGACGAACGAAGAGGGGCCGTAGCGACAGCGAAGAGTAGGATTCTAGCCCTCAAAATTGCGCCCGCAGATGCTAACGCGCCTTTAGGCACGCCCCAAGCGTAAAGCGACAACGAACAGGCTCTAAATCGGAGTCTCCCATACCCGAGCCCGCCGAGGAACCCACCATCGAACCTTCGGACGATGAGGGACAGTTACGAAATGGTTCGAAAAAGTCTAGAGTTGTAAGAAACCAGAAGGAGCGGTCGGATAAAGATGAAAAAGAACGACAGCGTCTAGAGGCGGCTAGCAAACGAAAAGGACGCGCCGAGCGACGACGTGCTGAAGGTAAAGATTTGCAAAAGACACCATCAATGAAGGACGACAAAGACTAACAAACTCAGAAGATTCAGAACCATCCGACGATATTCCAACAACGGTACCAACATCAAAAGTTCAACCGAAGAAGGAAGAAGAAATCCCAGTGGTTGAGGAAACACCTCCAGCACCGCAGCCCACCCCTGGTACACCACCACCAAGCCATGCGACGGTTGGAAGCTCGCATAAGCGGGGTGCGAGAAATAACCATAAAAAGGGCAAAGGGAAAAATCAATATACCAAAGACCGAGATGGAGATCGTGACGACTCTCCAGCACGGTCAATGTCGCGCGATATTCAGAAGATTACCGACGAGACACCGAGCCAGGTCACCAAAGCTACCACACATGAAAGTAAAGCCTCGAAACATAAATCAGCCATGGCGAACAAAATGAGCATGCCTGATATGAAACGTCGCGTCGCGGCCATCTTGGACTTCATCTCAAGAACCCAGGTAGATCTTGCTGCAGAAGGCAGTCTTGGCTCCAGCAGCAACTCTAGCAGTGGCGACAGATCTCCTGAAAAGTCACAGACAAATGGCGACTCAGACAGGTCAGGCATTACCGTCGATCGCAGTGCATTGATAAACTCAGACCAACAGTTCAGAGACTTGAATTGTGTTGAGATGATGGATGTCTTGACACGAGATATGGTCAAATGGCAAAACCAGTATACATAAGACAACATGTTGTTTATCAGAAAATTGGAGGGTAGCTCGGCCCGAGGACGGTTATATGATTAAAAATGCTCCAGGATGTATGATACCAAAACGGCCCATGACTGGCTGTCGAAGAGGATTTGGCGTATAAGGCGTTTCATGGTTAACCACCGAGGAAAATATTTCTTTTTGTTTCCCTCTCGCAATTCTACGGGTGTTATTTGATTTTGTCTATTCCCCCCCTTTTTGTTTCTCTAATCTACGGCAGGTAGAGACTATTCCCAGCCAAATCACTTGCAGCCATTACAAGTTGGTCGACAACGAATTCATTCACATATTCAGCATGATGTATAGCGCAGAAACTAGCTGATGAATTAAGCAAAAGTTTACTATGTCATAAGATGGATGCCTTGGTTAATTATATTATACAGGTTACCTACAGATACATGGAGGACATATTATACAGCAGGATCCAGTGGTCTGCTATTCGCTAGATTTTTCTTTCTTGCGCTCTTCCTTCTGCAACTTTTTTGCTTGGTTTATACTCAGTCGTGGCTCTGCAAGCATTATTTCATGGGCACGGATGGCATCCTCCGAGAGATCGTCCAACACAAACTTCCCCATCCTGCCATCTCTCCATTGAGACAGAACCCTGGCCGCCGCCTCTGGTATATTGGGTATTCCACCCGGTCGGAGACGCCCCTCCTTAGTCGCGACAGCAGCAAGGAAGTCATTGACATCATTGGTCGGGTCACAGTATCGTCCGTACATTTCGGGATCAACCAGGTTCATGCGATAGAGCAGGTAGTCCACGAGGATCTCGTCCTGGATCAGCCCCTTCTTGATGCCGTGCGCCAGGGCCACCTTCATCATCGTCTCCCCGTCGTCGACGTACGGCTGGAAGATGCCCGGCGTGTCGACGACGAAGACGCCCGAGGCCACGCCGCCGGGCTTGTCCCCTGACTCGATGATGCGCACCGCCGTGCCCACCTTGCGCGTCACGCCGGCCTGGTCCCCCGTCTTGGACGCCTTGGCCTTCCTCCCCTGCGTCCCCGCGCTGCGCAGCGTGTTGAGGAGCGTGCTCTTCCCGACGTTGGGCATGCCGACGACGAGGGCGCGCAGGCCCGTGAGGGAGTCGGCGGCCTGCGCGGACTCCTTGAGCCGTCGGATGAGGGCGTCCGTGGTGGACTTTTTGTTCTTGTCCCAGAAGACGGCCTTGTCGCCGTAGACCCTCTTCAGGGCGTTCTTGGCGCCCCGGCTGTCGCTCCCGAGGTCGGACTTGGTGTAGACGACGAGGCGCTCGCGGCCGGCGAGGGAGCGCTCGAGGTACGGGTTGTGCGTGGAGAGGGGGAGTCGGAAGTCGCGGCATTCGAGGACGAGGGAGATTGTCGGGAGGACCGTCTTTATCTTGTTCGCGCCGGCCTGGTGGTGACCGAGGAAATAGGTCTTGGGGATCGAGTTGGGGATTCCGAAGGCGTCGCGCGGGATGAAGCGTGCCATTGTAGTGGCCTCGGCATGAGTGTCGACGAGGTGAGAAAAGAAATCACCTCATTGATCGACATATATTCATTGTACTGGTTTGGTACAATGGAATCGAGCTTCCCATATGATTAATATTGGTTTATGGTGTTTTGGGAGTAGGAGTTGATCGCTGCACTAATCCCGCCTTCGAAAAAGATCGCGTTGTCAGAAATTCGATAGTCCGATACCCCACGCTGGCACGTGCAGATAAGCCGATAAGCTTATTTTCTTCTTAGAGCTGTGGTGACGTCATCTCCTAGGGCTGAGCTTCCTCCTTGCGGTTTTCGGACGTATTAAAGCTCCAAGCTGAATCATGTGCTGGTTATGTGACTTTTGGGGAAGATAATACGGCGGCACTCTTCCAATTTTCCGGTTTTAACTCCGCACATGGGTATATCTTCAGGCGATACTCGACAAGTGGTCCTGATCATGCGTAGAAAATAGCTATCGAAACATTTTATTCAGCCAATCCTCTTACTGCCAACCAGTAGCTGAAATGTAAAGATTTGTGAAATTTGAAATCTGTAACTTACGCTGAACATAGGCTAGAAAATTTGGTTTGAAATTGTGCCTCAAGTCATTCGGCAATTGCAATCTTTTCACCTTCTTGAACCGCATTCGCGTGATATGCAACTTGTTTTGCCTTTGGCAAGCTCTTCTCTTCGAAAGAGGCAAGTAAAATCAACGAAGTAGCGCAGTATGATTGTTTAAAGCATTTTCCAAGGGAAGGAGGGGGACACTCCTGTTATATCTCAGTTGACCGTTGCCATATTGTGTCACCGCCATTTGCCCTTAACCAATTCTCTCTTACGGGAAACCATCCACCTCTGAGCACCCCACGACAAACGTGATGAGGAACGGATTCCATATTTTTTTAACTTGTATTCTTACGCTGTCTGAAGTTGTTACTTTCTGCTTTCAAGGTTTGGTGTGAGAAGCATTTTCTCTAACTACACGGCGACAAAAGATGAGATGGATATCACCCCTGGGGACTCGTGCTGTTATCTCTCACGATAGGTCTCCTGCCGTTGCCGAACTCTTTTCTTCTCGAGTAGAATCTGTTCCTGGTTCTATTTTGCGAGAAGAGAGGTTTGCAAAACGCACAGAGAGTTAAACCTGTGATACAGGGTTCTGTTCCAATTCCGGAAGCATGCGATTCGGACACAGGGGTTTGCTTCCACAAGTTGCGGGTGCATTGATCTGCAGCTCCACTCGAATCCGATACCCTCATGTAGGTATGATACAATGTGATCTATCTCGCAGACGGGCGGTCTCATGCGTGCTGGACAGGGTTCCCTTCCTCCACCGACCCCTGCATCTCGTGGGAAGATGCAACATGGGGCATATATAAACTACGGGGCCTCCTGCGAGTAGGCAATCGCTCAGCTTGAGAAAGATATCCTCTTTGGTAGCCTCGACCTCTGAGAGTCCCTTTTGCTCTCTTAGCTGAAGATTTTAAGTCGACGGTGGTATGCCGGTCCATGGTGATGAGCCTTACTCGCTTCAGTGGGACGACCAAGATACTTCCAACCGTGCGCCTCACACAACTCCCATTATGGACTTTCGTAATTTCTCCGAGATAGGTATGGCCATCGCAAATGCGGCCATGTCCTAACCGGGTCCGCGTCCGGTGAGCCTGAGAGGTGTCACTTAAGCCATTAGATGGACCAATTCGCGCTTCTGCTTCCCTAGTCCGTATTGGCTAACATCGGTCGACGTTATGCGCATGTCCATAAACGCCGAGAATCCTACCCCGCCTTGAGAACGTGAGTCAAGCTGTCGCTGATCCAGATCCGGGAGGATAGGCCACGGCCAGCGTTTTCCCTCTGGCTGCCCCCATGGAGGCCGTTTTCCAGCACCGATTCCCAGCTCCGTCTATTATGGAGTTTATATATCCGGGGCTCCTCCCTTCGGCCTCCAGTGCCCACCCTCCTCCGCAATTGACATCGCTCTCCGTCTTCTTAGTTACTATTTCTTGACTAATTGGCTAGGCTCGTCGTCTAAGCTGGGAAATCACCAGGAAAGAAATGTCCGAGGGATCTGGAAAGGGTGCTCTGGTCACTGGAGGTGGCTCAGGTAGGCTTCGCAATCACTTCAACAACTGAAGAGGAAGGAAATGGAAATGCTCACAGGCCTTTCACACAGGGATCAACCTGGAGTTTGTTCGCATCCTCCTAGACAAGGGCTATTCTGTGATAATTGGTGATCTCCAATACCGCCCTGAAGTCGTGCCCCTCCTCACACGATTCCCTCACCCACCTACCGCGGGCAAGCCGTCCCTCATCTTTCAGAGGACCGACGTCACCTCGTGGGTCGACCTGAGCGCCCTCTGGACCAAGGCCGTCGGGAGCTTCCCCTCCGTCGACATCGTCGTCCCGGGAGCAGGTCTCTTCGAGCCCCAGTGGGCCAGCTTCTGGGAGCCGCCCAGGACGGCCACCAACCCAAACTCCCAGTCTCGAGACGCCGCCGACGGCGCCCCGGGCCACTACGCCATCATTGACGTGAACCTGACTCACCCAGCCCGGCTGAGCCAGCTCGCCATCGGCCACTGGACCCGGAACAAGCTGAGGGGCAGCATCGTCTTCATCGGCAGCATCGCGGGCTACACATCCGGCATCAACACGCCCCTCTACTTTGCCACGAAGCACGGCCTGCACGGATTTGTCCGCTCTCTCGGAGCTCTGAGGGACAGTGTCGGTATCCGCACCGGCTGTGTTGCTCCTGGTGCTGTCCGGGTAAGTTTTGCCGAAACCCGTTCTCCGAAGAGTCCCCTTTTGTGCTGATTGAATTTCGATGCAGACACCTCTGCTGATGGAAGACCCGACCAAGTCTGGCATGAGGGGCCAAGTTGACGAGATGGCTGAGCCTCGAGAGATTGCCGAGGTCATGTACCAGTTGGTAGTCAAGGAGGAATTCGGAAATGGCACTATCCTTGAATGCACCAAGGGGGGAGTCACTCGAGTGATTCCCGAGTTCTTTATGGAGCCTCCAGCCGGCTCAGGGGCCTCTCTTGCCGGCTATGTTGAAGCTGGGAAGAAGTTAGTGAATGATCTGAGGGACAACGGCCTGCAAGTATAACATATATGAAGCTCATCCCAGGAATAGTGTCGATGCTTGTCCTCGGGAAATATGCCATTTCTATTGCTGTCTCGAGTTAACTTGAGAAGCCAATCAATACTTGTTAAAACCGGCTCTGACCGAAATGACTATCGCTCACTCGCCACTTCAACAACTTCCTTGGTGATGAAATTAAGCATCTCACTTGAAGTTCGTTTGAAAGGACAGGTAAGGAAGGGTGCGCGAAAAGCGTAAAATTAATGATTTTCTCGATCTGATGCCAATCCTTCCTGTGCCCCTTACAAACCCGGCACAGTCCCATTTTTGGGCTATAAGAATACTATTGAGTTATTCCAAAAAGCAAATGCTGACAAAGGACTGGTGCTGTCGATATTATCCAAACACGCTGCCGCAAGAGCTGAAGGCATATATCATATGCCATATAATTGAAGCCTGAACGGGGCTGGGTATCTCGGTCTTGCCCCTCCAGCCCTCCCTTCCCCTTCTATCCCTCACCCTCTCCTTATATAGGACTCGCCAATGACATATAAGACGTCGTTCAGGTACGTTCCTTCGAACAAAAAAAGACAATTGAGTTGATAATAATAATAAAGAGGGGGTGTCAACCCCGATCGCAGTTCAGTGGTAATAACCTCTTCATCGCTCATTCAAACATAAAAAAAGGGCAAGCAAAGAAAAGCTAGGCGGGATTCTTGAATATACAGGAGTCGTCCGTCTCGTATTTGGTCGGTGCGTGTGGAAAGAAAAGAAAGAAAAAAGAAAAAAAGCTTCGCTCGGTCTCGAGGTATTATTTGATGTTCTTGAAGAGGTCGTTGCCGAGGCTACCCTCGTCCTTGTTGAACTCTTTAAGTTCAGGAATCATGGGCGGGGGTGGGCCTGATGGCTTGTTCGTAGCCGGGATTGTTGTCGTAGACGCCGTTGATTCTTGAGACAAGATCAAGCTGCTTCTCTTGGATTCTCCTCCCCTCAGTCTCTTGAACCATCCGCTGGCGCGCTTCGACTTTCGTTCGTCCAGGATAGAATTACCACTTCGGCTTGCCGGCCGGCTGCTGTCGATAGAAGCGGCAACACCGCCGTTAGACGCCAAGTGACCCTCTGCATAACTGTTATTCAACTTTGTCCTACTAAACATCCGACGGATGCTGCCCGCGCGGTAAGAGGCCGACGACGGGCTTGGGGGTGCATCTGCGGGTCTCTTGATTCCGGCAGAATTACCATTTGTTGCCTTGGGTGTTTCCTCTGGCTTCTTTACCGTTTTGTCCTCCTCGGTTTTGGCGGCGGTCTCAGGAACAGCTTTCTTTTTCGGTGTCTCGGGCAGGACTGGCTTCTCTTTCTCGACAGGGGAGTCGGGGGGTGGTGGGATATCGGTTCCGTCGGTGATACTACCAAAGTTGAGGTTCAGCGCAGGCAGCTCAAAGCGCGAGCCACTCGTCGCATTGGTGGCAACAGTTGACGGCATGGTGATTATCTGGATTGCGCAAAAAGTCCTTGAATATGGAGAGTTGAAGAATTATCGTCAGGGGAACAGGGCGGTCTTGGCTTCATTCAGGGGTTCCACAGGTTCCGGTAGAGTGCAGGTAATAGATTGAGAAGGCAATTTCGCGTTGGCAATGCTCAGACGCGTTCAATGCTGATGATATTGAATCTCCCCGCCAGGGTAGAAAAGAGCATGGAGTGCGGAGGGAAAGGAGAATGGATAATGGCCAGACAATGGAAAACTGGAGCTTGGACCTGGATACAACGGCGGTTGGATGGCTTGCGGGAGGGCCCAGTAGGTCGCAGCCAGGGATGGTGGTGGCGTGGAGGCAGGCAGCCTAAAGTAAACTGGTGCGTATTCTTAGGGAGGTAGGCTCGCCAGGTAGTACCTCTTTAGGTACTCGGGGTGTTTTGCTTTTGAGCGTGGTGATTCTTTGATGGAAATGATTATGAATGATCCTGGTTGAATGCTAGACTGGGGTGATGACCAATGGCACGCCTTGGCAGGTCGGGATATGGTAGCACGGCTGCCGCGCGGAGCAGAAGGGGCCAAAGCTCAGCCTCTGCAGAAGGATGAATAATTTGTGCTGCGCGTGCGTGAGGGCGGTGGCAGGCTGGAGGACGGACGTCTCCAATGGGGCGATGGAAGTGTATGATTGGGGAGAGGTGAGGGGCGGCGGCTCATGTCATACCAAAATCAATGACGCTGCGATGGGATCTCAATTCATTCCAAGATGAAGAGCCTGGTGCATTCGTCTTCTGAGGTTGGAGAGAGAAACAACAAACTGGATGTGGAGACGGGGTTGGGGCTTCAAAGGGCCGAGACAAGGTTCCCCCTGAGTTGGGCTGTAAAGGCTCGTACCTAGCACGAATTAGTACGTGGACAGTACGGATTAGTACATGGCATTTCAGGGTCCAGCCGGGAGCCACCACACACGTTGTGTCCATGCCCACCTGCCCTGTCTGCACTAATAATAAGCAAACAGCAGTACCAGTCTGGTGCACCTGCCAGCATCTGCTCGGGCAGCCATCCTTCCATGGATGCGGCAGGTTCTCCCCAGGACCTGCGAATGCGTGCTGTGACATGCGCAACCTGAAGTCGACGGGTTACAGCTTCTTGGAGCTGGAACAAGGCACGGGACGCTCATTGGCCTTGGCTCTGACAAGCCGCGTGTTACCTGCCCGGGCCGAGTAGTCCGTCCCCAAGCTTTAGTCTCCAGTCTCGTATGCAGCATCTTAGTAAGACCTCCATGCTCCATCGACTCGTGTGCATTTCGCGACAGGTACATGAACTCAGGTGCCATAGCGCACTAGGTAGAGAGCCGCAAATAACATCCTAGTTCGTTCGCCTCTCCTGCTAAGAAGTGTCGCGCCAACGAGACGAGACATCACTACTTTGCCGTGGCTGTGCACATCCTCTTCCCTCTTCAAGCCTTGGAGTTGCAATATTAGCACCGCACGCACCGCCCAACACAGCATGCCATTGCATTCTGCCGAACTCAATTATGTCCATAATTAGCATAAAAGCTGTCGGGTCACCAATAGATAGCACAGGGAGCACGTAACGTAGGACTCTTTAATTTCCATCTGCATAGTATCCTGCCAACAACTCTTCAGCACGCACGGAGCAGAAATAGTCTGAGCCTAGGTGACACCTGTGAAGATATTTAGTCGCTAAAAGAGCAATATCCATGTGCCATTATCGATCATCTGTCTCATTCGGGCTCGGGCTGCAAAAAGGAACGACATGTTATGCAATGTGACTTGTGCTAAAATAGGCAGAGGCAGCCAACCAAGACCGCGGGGCAAGTACCTGACGATCCTGCGGCACAGCATCTCGACTCTTAGGCGGGAATCCCTCTAACTGTGAATTCTGAGCGGCAGTTGCCCGAAGCCCACTCCTCGAACAACCAGGACTACCTTAGCTGTTGGTCCTAATCTGACGCAAACGCGCGTTCTCTAGTCAAGCATATCTTTCGCTTGATGATATTGAAACACCGGAACCTACTTCAGCGCCACCCGTCTTCTTACCTCCCCCGCCATGTCTCATTTCCCTGCACCTCCTCCAGTTCCTCCTCCACCCGCCTTCAATCAGCTCCACATCCGTCTGCCGAAGCCACCACCAGTTCCCCAATCCGGGCCGCAAGGTGCATATTTGATCGAGCTAGCCGTATACAATGGCCATCCATTCAAAGACCACTGGGCGTACTTCGTGCGCTCGCATACTGATCCCGAGATTGGAGTCAAGGTTCACGCAACGGGTGATGTGAGAAATGGGTTCCAGCTCGAGTCGAAGCGTAGCCATGACTTGCGCGACACTGTCGACATTCCATCAAAAAGAATACCCCTTCAATGGGCTGATGGCATGTATTTTGATTTTCGCAAAATGTTCAACGACGGCGTACCAGTGATAGAAAGCAAACCCGTATGTGGCTTCGAGGATAGCGTATACAAGATTCCAGCTCCTGGGAAGTCAATGAATACTGTTGGCGATGCTGTGAGACTCTCTTTCCTTCCCGACCTTTAATATTGTTGGGCTAATTATTCTACGTAGGTCCAGCCGGGGAAGGCTATCATACAGAGAGACTGCCAGACATGGATAGTCGAATCTGCGGACCAGCTGGTAGCCGATGGCATATTTGCGGCGCATGTGGCTGCATATCTCCATGCCCTCAAGCAGTAACACCTTGATAAAGCCACAGGTTGCTTATTGGATGGGTGATAACTTACATGGCTGGAGTACCTTTTGCACTTATCAACTAAGGTACCAGAACCTACCGTAGGTACTCGTATATTGAACAAGCGTCACCTGGGGCAAACATACTCGGGTTCAATCATGTAGGTAAGGTAGGAATCAAAAAAGGGTTGACCAATGCAATGGCGCCATGGCTCCGAACAGAGCGCAAACCAGTGAATATCAGTGCGGGCGGTTAGTGCACGTCATGATGAGCTACCGCCTGCTTTAGCTGATAGAGCCCCACGCCCCGCGATAATACCCGTGCTGCCGAACCGAGCTTGAGACCTCACCGCAAGCCAATCCCGTCTACTTTTCCTTCCTTCCACCAAGTTCAATTGCTCTGCGATTTCGCCAATTCCACCATGGCGAGCTCACAGAGACTCCTAGCTGCCGGCCTCGGCCGCCCTATCGCAAGGGCGTTGCGTGTCCCATCCCTCGCCGTTCGGCGCAAATCTGGTCCCTACGGCTACACCCAGGCTAAGGCCCTGGTTTTCTCCAAGCCAGGCGAGCCCGCCGATGTCCTGAGGTAAGGCCCAGGATATCTAACTGACGCTTGCAAACTTCATATTTTCCATGGCCATCCAATGCTGACCCCGCTAATAGCCTTCACTCTCACTCCATCTCGCCCAGCCTCCCGTCCTCCTCAGTCCTGGTCCGCTCTCTCGCCGCCCCAATCAACCCGGCAGACATCAACACAGTCCAGGGCACCTACGGCGCCAAACCACCCTTCACCTCTCTCATAGGCACCCCCGAACCATCGGCCACACCCGGAAACGAGGGAGTCTTCGAGGTCCTCTCCTCCTCCTCGCCCGACTTCGCCAAGGGCGACTGGGTCATCCCCGCCATCTCCCAGTTCGGCACCTGGAGAACCCACGCGGTGGCAGAGGCCTCAAAGTTCATCAAGGTCGACAAGCAGGGCCTCTCCCCGCTGCAGGTCGCCACCGTCAGCGTCAACCCGTGCACGGCGTACCGCATCCTCCGCCACTACGGCCCCAACGCCGGCGTCAAGGCGGGGCTGGGCATGCGGCCCCTCGAGGTCGGCAGCGGCGAGTGGTTCATCCAGAACGGCGCCAACTCGGGCGTCGGCCGCGCCGCCATCCAGTTCGGCCGGCTCTGGGGCCTGCGCAGCATCAACGTCGTCCGCGAGCGCGAGACCGAGGAGGCCACGCTTGCGCTGAGGCGCGAGCTCGAGTCCCTGGGCGCCGACGTCGTGGTGACCGAGTCGCAGTTCATGTCGCGCGAGTGGAGGGACCGGCTGGCCGAGATCACCCGCGGGGGCCGCGAGCAGGTCGGCCTCGGACTCAATTGCGTCGGGGGCAAGTCCGCCACCGCCGTCGCCCGCTCACTGGGCGAGGGCGCCACCATGGTCACGTACGGCGGCATGGCCAAGCAGCCTGTTGCTCTGCCTGTTGGTCTCTTGATCTTCAAGGATATCCGGTTCCTCGGCTTCTGGCTATCCAAGTGGAACGAGAAGGATGTTAAGGGGAGAAAACACATGATTAATGATATTCTAAGCCTGATACGCGCTGGGAAGTTCCAGGATGTACCTGTGGACGAAGTCAAGTGGGATTGGGACACCGAGGAGTCTACTCTACGTGATGCCGTGCAAGGAGGACTCCAGGGATTCAGAAAAGGCAAGGGGGTCTTCGTCTTTGGCGAGACCTGAGCGGTGGAAAAATCATGTCGCTTATTTCCAGAGTGATCTGTTGTAGTATTATAGTAGTAGATATCACGAATTCCCATGGCAATGATAAGATAAGCCTCCTCCAGGACAGGAAATGCATAGTCCCAATGCAATATCACAACGGTAAACGTCTGGCATTGGCTCATTGAGAAACTAAGGAATTGCAAGATCATGGAACCACACAGCCAGAAACCAGACTGGTTGGAAATCATACTTGGACATAAAAATGCTCATCGACTTTGACTTGGCAAAGCACAGGAGAAGGAACACTTCAGAAGTCACCACAGTCAAAAGATGCAAGTGATCAAACGCTGTGTTTTAATTAAGCTCTAAACGCTTGCGCCCATTCGTGCAACTTATCAATGACCACCGGGGCAAAAGCAGTCAATGTATCCTCAATAACCCTGCCAAAATACAATATGGCCTCCTCCTCGGTCATCTCAAGATGAAAGCGCTCTCTCACTTTAAGGACTGCCTTGTCAGGTTCGAGCCTGATATCTGGGATGTTGGCATCAACCATCAGGCTGAACAGGTTCAGAATAAGATTAGAGGATTTGCGTAGCGCCGTATACGCCAAAAAGCAGTACTGTTTAAACTGCTGATACTCGTCCGACTGAACGCCACCCATGCAGTCAACCATCTCCTTCGACAGCTTCATTACTGGAGCAAATGGTTTAGGGTCGCGACCTAAAATGTAGCCAAAATCTGCATGGAAAAAATGTCCATCTGGAGCAAGAAGGAGATTGTCTAGGTGACGATCACCTACTCCTAAAATATATGTGATGACACAGTAGCCTGCGCATGATCTAATATAGGTATCGAGCGTTTCTTGTCTGACGCCGAGTGGTTGTCTATCATCTGGGTTGTGGTGTCTGAGAAAGGCCAAGGCTGGATTGGTCTTGAAACGAGCCACGATGCTGGACAAACTCTGCGATTGCACAAACTGGGAGGCACCCGCAGATGTGCTTGTTGCTAGAATCTTGTAAGGGGAGAGTTTCAGATCCAGGTTTTCTTTCTGGAGGAGCTGGTCCATGAGCGTAATAATTTGGATAACAAGTTGATCCTGTCGCAAGTCATCGCCAAGTTTAAAAATGATAGGATATGGAGTTCCAGTTGTTGTCTTGAAAGAGCATTTGATGGGATTCAGTGACGATTTGAACACTGTGACCTGGTCTGGAATGATACCTGTGATTTTGACAGACGGGTCTAGCGGCATGGGCAACGGCGGATCAATTGTGACAAGCTCATTTTTTGGATCCCCAAGAAAGTGCTTCACTCGGTCCGTTTTCTTAGCGATGGATTCCGACGATGCTTTCACATCGCCTGCTATTTTGGAAAGTATTGTTATGACTTCCGCTTGTCTCAGGAGAATCTTGCGCTGCTCAACTCCATCTGGCTTTGCGACAAGCTCCACCATGAACTCATAGGCTACTTTGCGGTAAATATTTCTGTTGTCTGACCCTTGCAAAGGGCTGGCGTCGTCACATTCAACCATCAGATACCAGTGGAAGTAGTTTCCAAGCATGAAGTTGGAAGCTGCTCGCTGAATCAGAAATGCGGCTAGGGATGAGTCTTTGGTGCTGTCTTGTGCTGATTCGGCCGAAATATGCTCGTATTTGAGGGCTTGTACGAGCTGAAGAAGGTACAGGAGCAATTCTTGGTCGTCCGCCTTTCGTAGGCGGTCAACAGCATACGAACGGACCCCAGGGTTATCGAACGAAGGTCCAAGCAGCTCGAGTGCATCATCAACATCGATTGCAGTCCAGCGACCTAGAACCTGGATAGCTTGTTTGGATTCGCTCTGATCAGCCCAATTCACCGACTTGACAAATTTCGTCAATGCACGCTTGTCTCTCGTCAAATGGTAGCGGAATTTCCACACAAGATCTGCCTCTTCGGGAGACAGAACATGTGTTGGCGAGTAGGCCATGATGTGGTTCAGCTCGTCTCTGACTTTGGCATTCGGTTTCAAATCTTTGTCAAGGATGCCGTGTCGATGCGAACTGCGGAAGAGCCGTCTATGCTTTGCTTCAGCAGGATTATCCTTCTGGCCAGCCTCGGGGTCCCAAACTTTGATCAGCTGGCCCCCTAAGCCTTCTGAGCCATCTTCTAGTCCGTTGATTCCGGGGCCAAAATGTACCTGAGGCCGTTGGGCCAGATTGGCCTGCGAGGCGGAAAGCGACCGAAATGAGGATACTGGCGGTGGGTCGTATTCGTGATCTGCAAAGACCACGGGAAAGTCGAACCGGGGAAGTTCTACATTCAGAAAGAACATCGAAGGTCCTGCACGCCCATGGTCCTCCTCGTCTGGCTTCTCGTCGGGAGTGCCCTGTTGCGTGGCATCCAGAGCGCGCCGCCTCTCGCGCATCTTCATCGATGACTTTGCAGCCTGAAGGCCTTGTTTCTCAAAATTTCGGAAAACAATCTGATCAAGCCAGTCCACCCTGGGAAGCTCGCCCATCTCATGTTTCTTAAAAAGCTTTTCCATCCGATCAAGCTCCTCGGCTTCTTTATCCAGTTGTGTCTCCCAGCTCTTATTCCCTCGCTTCTTAGTTGAGATTTGAGCAGGAGTCGTGGTTTTAACCATGCCGTCAGCCTTTTTGTGACGATACACCACACATTTCTGTCTTCCCTTCTGCGCGTGGTTGTCTTGGTCGAACAGGGCTAATGTGGTCCCCCCAAACGGTATCGCATGGCCGGATGCATCCTTTCCACCGCTGGGAGAAAGATCCCATATAGTAATCGCGAGACAAGAGTCGGCAGGCAAGTTTTTGTATGTGAGAGGGAGCTCGAGCCATTCATTCCACCTGGTTTAGACGGCATGGTCAGCACAGAACTAGATGAATGGAGGAGTAGTGACAACCATACTTTCTTTCTGCCCTGAACGATTTATATGCTGTTTGAATAGGAACCGATAGCGGTTTTGACCCGGCCCATACCTGGACAGTGACAAAGAGGTCGGAATGCGGGCTGGCGCATATTAATATCAAGCGGCGAGGGGGCGGGGGCTATGTTTGCGCACCTTGTATTTGATCCAACATGACGGAGATCTGGGCGCTCAAAGAGCGTGGACATTCTTATAGGTGGTTCGTCTCCCTCCAGATTCATTCTAAATGCCGGTTTGTCAGAACCAATGAGCCTTCGGTGGGTAAGTGTGTTCTTACATTCGAATGCTCAGCGGATGGTCGACATCCTTAGAACCTGCGAAGGAAAACGGGTCCAACTTCCCGTATTCAGCCATTTTTATCTCGAGTCATTATGAGCGCCCTATACAGAGGCCATAGGAGGGGGTTTTGGCCGGGTTGTTGTCGGGGTCGCAGGTCGAAAGGATGCGCAAGTCCAGCCAGCTATCTTATGTATGTATGTTATCATAGCGGTGCAGTAGAAAGGCTGCTTGATACCTAAGCGCAACTTAGCCCAGCCCCACCACCCACATGATGCACGGCCACGAATGTCAGCAGGCTCCAGCCACATTTACTTTCCATGTGCAGGTCCCAGGGGTCATGCAGCAATGTTAAATACAACAAACTTCCATGGTATCAATTAAGTTTCTATCAAACAAATTCAGGGATCATCAGCTCCAAAACGCAACCCATCTACATCTACCAGTCGAAAATTCATATATATGGTAACACGAGCCCCCCAACTGCGTCAATCCGCTAATAATTGGCCCGATCAAATCAACCCTATCCATCATGCCCTCAGATGCCACTCAAAGACTTGGCTAAACATCTCCTTCGCGTTTTCCTCCACCACATCTCCGTGGCACGGGATTAGCTTGACAAAATCCCATTTGCCGATGACCTTCACACTCTCATTGAAGCTGGCGCGGTCCTTAGCCGCCACGTGCCAATTGAACCTCTTCATCCACTTGTTATCGCCGTGTGGGTTCTGCAGGCCCTCGAACAACTTGCCCAGGAACCCCTCCTTCTTTTCCGCCTCTGGCACCTTGCTGTACTGCTCGGTGGCGGGCATGTTGAAGAGCAGGTCAGCCTCGATGAGGACCTTCTCGGGCTTGTAAAGGAAAACAATCTCCTTGTTTGCGTGACCATCCACATACTCGTAGTCAAAGTCGGCATCAAACTCGTCGTCAATCTTGATGTCGTGCTTATTCTCCTTCTTGAAGACCACAGCGAATTCCTCCTTTCCGATTTTTGGGTCATGTTGCCCGGCTCGCTTCTCAGGGAGCCCCTCGGGCCCAATGATCTTGACTCCTGGATACTGCGTGGCCCACTCGGAAATAAAAATGTGATGCTCGTAATCCAATGCGATGATGTAGGCAAGATTACCGCCCAGTTCGGCAACCTTGGCCTTGGCTGCCTCGGTGAGCGCCACGGGCGAGAAGAGGGCCAGATTCCCAGAACTCAGTTTCACTGTGCGATCACGTGTCAGTTCCCGAATGCGACAACGATGAGTTGTGTCCCTTCAAGAGACGACTGCTTCCTCTTACCAAGAGTTCCACGACCGCCAATCTTGGCTGTGCCGAACCGCGCAAAAGGCACAGAGAATGTCACAATGTTGGGCGTGACATGGCGGATGACCATCACATCGGCCGGGTTGGATGGAATGAGTTTCGAAGACATGGCGGCTGATCTGGCGGGTGTGCTGATAAAACCTCGAGAAAGTGGTTGGCGCTTGAGATTGGGACGGTATGCGGCGGATGAGGCCGAGCCAGAGTATAAATATTTGCGAAGATGGACCTGGCCTGAGTTGCGACAGTCAATGACGCAAAAGTTGGCCGGAGACGACGAAATCAGCGGATGCGACGCTAAGGTGTGTGGCGGAGGTGCTGATGCTATCCGAAGCTTTGTAATTGAGGTCAGCGGCCGCCTTCCAGCATGGGAGAGAAGCCTGGCCAAGCTCGAGCTTCGCGTAAGATGGTGCGCCACCATTATGCATGGATTTAACCTCATTAATTGCTCTGTGGTGGAATTCCCATGGTCTGGTGGGCTCACAATTCGGGTTGTTAGTGCCTGGACTGGAGGGAGGGGCTGTTCTCCAAAGAACACCACTGCTGTGCAGAACCAGGGGTCCGGAACTGTGGCTCCAACGGTTCAGGGATCCATGACATCAACAGAGTAAAAACCACCTGCTTTTGTCGCTTTCGCGGCGAGGGATTGGATCGGTCATTGACCCGGTTCTGGAAGGCTGGAGCTGCCATCTGCTTCGGCTTCGGCCGGGCTCAACACTCCGCAGCGGGTCCATCGACCTCTCCACCGAGGCACAGGATCTGGACCCAGTCGAACGGATACCCGATTATCCTAAATATTCGGATTCCCGTGTGAGTAATACCTTGTTGCCGTTGTATCTTATAATACTAATCTCCCTCTATTAAGACTTTAAGCAACGTACTCATTGATTGGAAATACAAGTACTAACTCATCATCTTAACAAGGAACCGCCGGGTACCCGTAGGATCATGATAGTATAATCCGTTCCCAACAACGGGCAATATCATTCCCAGCTGTATCCTCTACACGCCTCCTGTACTCAGGCTTCTAGAAGTACCGTGCCCGCTAACTTGCGGTAGCATGCCCGGACCGAAGTTGGCAATCCCTTTATTGTGTCAGACCAATGAACCTTTCCGTGTCATTTCCACTTCCCCAGAAGTTTTCCGGCTCAACTGTCCCCCACCGAAACATTCCCTTGTCAATGCCAATGAAAAGAATCATGCGGCTTTCTTCATAAACGTAGTCAAGCATGTACCTTCTGCTTAACCCATTGGCCTGAAGAAGAATATCGAGTTCCCGTCTGCAAGCCAAGAAAGACATCAGGTAAGTCAAACACATGGCTTGATTCGCAAGAATAGACCATGAGAGCCTAGGTACAATGAGGACAGGAACTTTGGGCAGATCGAGTGGGTCTAGTAAGCCTGTGAACAAGTACAGGACAGTGGTTATCAAGAATAGTAGAAGATGCCACCATGCAATGAGCTGCCCCGGAATCAAGTCCCATGCAGCTCTAAACAAGGTGTATAATGTCCACTCAAGAATGTCAAAAATGATGAATTTCCCATATTTCCGTGGTCGTAGAAACTTGGACGCAGGCCAAAGAGGTTGTGGATCAGTTGATTGTAGCCCTTGTATATAGGCAGCAAAACCATACGCCGAGTCGTTCTCAGCCAATGGAACAGAGCCTTTCATGTCGCCTTCACCAGACTTACTAGCCTCTGCGCTGCTATCTTCGCCAGAAGAAATCCTTTGGGCTAGTTTAATACGAGGGGGCGGCATTCTTTCGTAAACAGGGCCAGGTCGTCTAAAAGTTCCACGGCCGGATGGGAAGGTCATGTCGAATGCCTGGTGTGGAAGTGACTCTTCAGACGATGTGCGCTGAATAGCTTGCCCGGACTGGCCAGCCCCAGAAGAACCTGGCAATGGTTGATTGCCGGCCCCCTTCTCCAGCCGCGATTGGATATTTTCAAGACCATCGGCCGTGGGCATTGCCATAGTTACGGCTTTGGTGGGACTCGCAGGGTTCGACACAAAGTGTCCATACTGGAATGCATCGTGAGTGATGCTCTTGGGATTTTCCTTATAGACCGCTTGATCCACAACCCATGCCTTGAGGTGAGCACCGTTGGGCGCATATAGCCCTTCTTCTTCTTCTTCTTCCTCTTCTTCTTTCTGGCCTGGCTGTTGACTGCTGCCGCTCTCCACCTTTTTAACCGCCATATCCATGTAAGCATTTTGCAGTTCGAGACGCGCCTCGGCCAGATCACCGTTGAGTTTGACAATGGTAGCATCCTGTTCGGTAATCCGTGCCATTTGCTCATCGAAGTGTTCACGGATCTTCCCAACCAGTGGGACGATTTCATTCGCGGCTTGTAGAGCAAGGTCGACCTCGCCTTCCCCTCCTGGTACTGGGGTTGCCACGTTGTGCAGCGATTCAACCAATTCCAACAATTTTAGAAGCATCTCATGGCCACTCTCATGCTCTGGAACACTCTCATGCTCTGGAATACTCTCATGCTCTGGGACACTCTCATGCTCTGGAAGCTCTACAGGCTCGAGCGGCTCGTTCGGTTCTTCCATGTCTGCCATGCTCATCCCCTCTGTTTGGTACGCCGATGTGGTCATTTTCAAAGATCTCTTTGACTTTTCTTTGTTTGTTTCCGTCCCAGTATACTTCGGATCTTTACAAAAATTATTGGTAATTGTGTTTATGTTAATCTCGGGCTTCGTCTTATGATGTGGATGGTATAGTGATCTTGAAAGTGGCTAAATGATGTTCATTTCGGAAGGGAGGTGAAGAAATATCATCATTCTAATTCCCGGGGTAAAGCGAATACCCTCAAAAATAACAGACAGACGCGACGCTGTTATTATTTGGAACAAAGGGCAGGTAGGAACAAAGAATAACCTTGCTACCACTAAATTCATACGTTAGGCAAGGGCCAGGTGCCTACCTTAGGTCGGTGCTATGGGAGCGGGCCATATGCCAAGGATATGATCAGAATAGCCAGCTGTAAACTACACTACGGCAAGACAAGTAGGTGGGACAAAGACCAAATTAACGACGAATGACTACGAGTGTACATCGCTTACCTGTGACAATTCCTTACTAATGGGATACTGTAAAAATACAACAACCATAGTTCATTGACTTGGAAGAAATGTAATCCATTAACGCCAACAAGTTACCGGGTATCAATCATTAGTTGTTACAGTATAAACATACATTTTAGCTATACCAGCCCTTCGCTCCCGGATTGTCAAGAGTGGACTCAGCTCTATGTTTTATCAGAGGCTCCGCCAGTTCTAAAGTTTGTACAATATCCTCCCACGTTGCCATATCCATTGAAAGAATTGCTTGATGCTTTGAGCCGCCTTGACGAAGGCTGGGCTCCTCATCGACCTCTCTCATCACGGGTGCTAAGCAAAAAAATTAATTATTTACCCTGCAAGGTCGAACTTGGGGAAAGATCAATAATATAACAGAACATAACTTACCAAGGCTAGGGAGATCGTTATCGTCATACTCTATGCTAACTCTGCCATCACGGATGAGGAAGCTGACATAGAAGATATTTTCGACAGTCTGCCCAAACGACCTCGGGTTTACCACGAATCGTAACAAATCTATTCCCCCCGTGCTCCGAAGACCATGCTGATGCATAATATTGACTTTTTGATCATCTGGCATATCGTCATCAAGGAGATCTACCACAGTCTGCTGCACCTCGGACTGAGTCTTGACCAGTTGTTGTAAGATTTGCCCGCAAATGGCGGTCAAATCATTTTCTTTCTTAGCAAGACTAGCCACATCAAGGACCTCTGGACGAGTCTCTCTCAAATCGTTTGGCCTTAGCGGGGCAATTCGCTTTGTTATCTTTCTTGCCTTCTTTTCCACGGACAAGGGCCCGAGCAAAAAGCCCGGCAGAGCAGGCCGTCGAATGTTAGGGAGGACAGCAAAGCGGCCCAGGTGGGACCAGTTCATCATATCTCCCTCATCCCCAATATCTTCTTCATCCTCGCCGGGGTCTTGTGAAGTGGCAGTTCTCCGCTGCCTTTGGGTGCTGGAGAGCTCTGGAGCATCATCATCTTCAATACCCCTGCCCTGCCGCATATAGACGATGCATCTGGACACAAAGTCGTCCACATTCACACCTTGCGCCAGAGTTCCGTGTGTCAGACGCAGTGTTCTCTGATATGAAAGATCGGTTGTGCTCACAAGAAGCCGCGAATCCGACGCAGCTTCTCCCGGTCGCTTGACTTGCTTCAATATCGAGTTTGCCTTCTCAATCGTTTCCTTCAGACCACGAGAGTCGCCTTGTAGGTATTCCTCTCTTTTCTCTATCACATCTTTAAGAAGGCCTCGGAGTCCCCTTTGGACCTTGCGCCGCTCCTCGAGCGGCTGGTCGGGATCGTAGTAATCTTCGCCGGTCTCGTCTCCACTATCGTCGTCGGACGCAACCAGCCCACCTCGACGTCCGCTACCTTGAATCTGTTCGGAAGATTGATCACTATTATCGTCACTCTCTGAGTTCTCTGATTCGATTGTTCTCTGTCGGCGACTTGAACGTTGGGTCATGACTGTGTCTCGGCGCTTGCGCTTGGCGGAGATTGAAGATGGGGTGGCGGAAGCGACATCTTCAGCAGAACTATCGTCCGACATTGTACAGCATTAAAGCCAGTCAATCGCAATACAAGTAGAAAACGGCGTTGAACTCGCGATCGTAAATCTTCAATACAAGTGGTCTTCTGGGTCTTTGACAAAGGGCTAAGTTGTAAAGAGCATCCGCTTCCGACGCGTTGGGAAGTCGCGTTGGCGTGTTAAGCATCCTAGATGCGGGGCTTTCCCGCTCCATGTACATGTACCGATACGCCCCACTATCAAGCCACACTCTTAACTCAAGACCATCGACATTCCTTCCGCAGTATCAATGAGAATTAGCCCAACAATAAGCAAATTGTCAAACAACTAATTAACATATTTGATTATTTACTTCTAGTTATATCTTTCATCACTAGCCAAGACTCTCTCACAGGTTGAGAGTGATCTTTTGCTTTGCTGCATTTTCTCTCACACATTTGCCTTCTATCGCTTTCATAACAGCCCAACTTCACCTCCCACCATCATCGCATTGCGAGCAAACATCCTCTTTATGTGCAAGCGCAGCCACCGCTAAACCACAGGCCATTTGGAAATACATTCTGTCTCTGGTGCACTACAACAACTGCTTTCTTCTTTTCCCTCAGTCATACCTCATCAATATATTGCGGAGGAAGCGAAAAGCAACATCCAACATCCCACTATTACCTTATCTTCGCTTCTTCGGTTTCAACCCATCAACTTCTTTCTCACTATATATAACCCGTTCTAAATAGCGCTATAAGCTCCCAAAATGATCCAAGTGCCCTCAACCATGACCCACCTACACACTCAAGAACCCATTCGCTAAGCCCGAGAAATGATTCATTTGTAGTAGTGGCGTTCAATAATATAGTCCCTGTCCTGGCCGATGGTCCCAATGAACTCTCGATTTCTCTCCATGCTACGGAGCGTGTCTATATTCATCTGCTGCTGAGCTCTGATACACTCAAGGTCGTTGGCTCTCTTCAGATCTGCTAATTGCCTATCGTAGGACTTTTCCAATTCTTCCAATTCCGCTTTTGCTTTCTTGACTGCCTCGGAGTCCTCGTCGCCGTTGCCACTTGGCTCATAATGGATTGCTTCCAGTGGCGCCGTTGCGGGTGGCTGCAATCTTGTTTGCAGCTGAGAGGGCACCATCGGTTGAGTCCAATTATAGCCAGCCAGTACGGGTTCTATCAGAGTTACGGGAGCCGACTGCTGTGGTGTTCCTTCCAACTCCTCCAAGCCGCTCTTACTTACGTTCAGACGGGTCTTGGAGTAAATCTCGTAGCTGACCGGTGCCTTAGGGAACACCCACTCGGGGACATCACCACGCTGTTTCCATATCGTTGGCTGAAATTTTCGAAGACGAGTGTTTATGCGATGACGCAACGAAACTGGATCGTCAAGTACGTCCATTCCCCACAAATCGATGAATCCCTTGCGTGTAAGTAGAGGGGACTGTGGGATTGGGCTATGGTTGTTCCCGCCTCGGAAGCCCAGGGTATATTGGATGGAGTCCTTATCATAGTAACGCTTCAAGGTTCTATCAGCAATGTGCTCCTTCTCGGAACCCTCGGCGTTCTTCAAGGCGACTCTCCCTATCTATGGATTAGCTCTACCAAGCTACAGTGATCTAATGACCTCACATATGTTATTTGCTTCTGGATACTCCAAGACATCCAACAGTAGGCCATAAGTCTCCGGAGCCAAGTAACCTTTCCCTTCAACATCAACAAAGCCGAACACCGCCGAGGCAACATCCACAAAGCTAGGAAGTGTGGCATACGTCTCGGGGTCGAATAGAGTAGACCAGCACTGTCCAGCAGCTGCGGCAGAGGATGCAGCTGTCCGGTCTCCCGCCACAGGCCCTGAGTGGCCGCTTACTCTAAACAATTCTACCTTGTGGCCTAGTCGGTGTGATTCAGTGTAGGTCCCGAGAAGAGCACAGCTCGCACACAGATCATAACGGCCGCAGGGCAAGCAGTGCACCCTCGCCTTGTTTGGTGGGATGGTGTCTCCGCAGCCATGACAAAGAAAAAGCGACATATTTGTTTACAGTGCTGGTAGCGATCGCGTCATGAATACGCAGCAGTCTCCATGATAGCGAGACTTTGAGTCTATTCTGACGACTAAATGACTATTATACCCCGCGTCCCGGTTCAAGGGGAAGGGTTCAAGCGGAGGGACGAGGCTTGAAAAACCAATAGCGCGCCACGTTTGTGTGCCACGCTTCTAAAGACGTTCTAGGCCTTGCATATTAGCAGTGACAAATTCAACTGCATGAACGCATAAACATCCAGTTCGAGTATCAAGAGCCTTCTACATTTTCGTGAACAACATCACGAATGTCGAAGCCGCGTGTTCTTGACACCTCCAAATAGAAACGAATCCACTTGGGGCAACCTACCGCTTGTTCACACCAAGAGCACCCAGGCGGGGTTTGGGTTTAGCTTTCACTAGCAAGATACTTAATAAAAGGCCTCAATCAAGGCAGCAAACAAGCCGGTATTGGCAACTGGATGTGAGACATCAAATTAAAGAATCTATGAGCAGAGGACATTCCGTAACAACCGATTGGTTGGTTTAGAATAAAATATACTGCTCAAGCTTCAAATTCTAAAACGGCCCAAGACGGATGGGTGTAACTCAATCCAGTACGAAAACAAATCCGCCTGGATTGGAATCGGCATTCGGTAGCTGCGTCTGATGAACCAAATGTGATAACTACAATAAAAGCAGCGACGGCAACCTGGGATAGGATACGACCTAATGATAGCAGCCTGATAAGCCACGGGGGCTGCCAAGTGCGACATTCCGATGTAGCTTCACGCCATTCTCAGATTTCGGTTTGAAGCATCTCGGGCGATAAAAACCAAGTCATGGGAACCAGACTATCGATAAGAACCCGAACTAACAAGGTTTACGCAGGACTAGACTCAACATTGCCCAGACACCTTAGAGGTCACTAGCTGCGTCCCACCCGCTGTGCGGTACCTTTGTCGAGGCTTGAACTGGTACCAACAGGTACCCGGCCAAGGCTGGGCGTGACGCACCACCTCCCCGCGATAACCACCACCTAAAGTCGAGGCACGCGACACCCTCCAGAAACTTAGATCAAGGATGTCACAATGGGCGCTTTTGGTCATATGCCATCGGTTCATATCTCTGGCTCTGCAGCTAAAGGATAGAAAGTCAAATCACGAATGGGAAGTCTGGTGCCACTGATGGGGAAGGTGCGCTGATAAGTCGGCCCCCAGCCTTTGTCAGAGTAGCGTAGCAGCATGTCCTGGGCTAACAAACCCCCAACTTCGCACCCATGCACAGCAATCAATAGTTCCTGCGTGATCCCTGGGACTGTGCAACACTCCCCCGAACATTTCTAGAATGCCATGGCCGCCGTGACCAGCGAAGTACGAGTCCGAGTTCCTGCATTGGCGGTGCCTCTCTGGCGTAACGCGCGTTGATCATCTCGGGATCGATGATGTAAGAGCCTCGTAGCGTATATGCATTCCGAAGATCTTTAGAGACTCGCAACGGCGTGATCTCGATCGCACACCGGCAGCTTCTCTAGTGCAGCTAGGCATGAGGAAATCAGGTATCCGGTTTCAACCACCAGTTTTAGATGCCACTCAAACCACGAAACTCAAGGTCCACGGGAGGGCAGGGCGGGGAAGGGTTGGCAGATAGTGGGGTATAATGGTGCAACAATAGGAACAGGACCAGACCTGGCCTCACCTCGGTTGGCCGTGGTCGGCCTCGAGGACCGGAAACTTGGGCTGCCCCAATTATTGTCTCTCCACAACGAGGGAGGAAGACGACATCAAGCAGCATCATCCAAGTTCCACAAGAGGCCACTATTGGGGCGCAGTCTCGGAACTGGGCATGCCCCATAGCCTGCTCCTGTTTGCCCGTCTTCTATCATTCGAAAAAGATAGGAAAGAGGGAGCCAATGCAAGTCTCTCGAGTTGAATATCACGCAGCCAATAAAGTTTCCGAGGCTGGGAGTTCGGTGAGAGTCAACCCGAGTACCTGCCTCACCTTCACTCAGATGTCTAGTAGGTAGGCCACTGCCCTTTGCCCATATCAGTGTTGTACATAACTCGTCTCTATGCACACATCACCCGCCTAGAGTTAGATACATAAACGGACCCAGTCTCCCCATATTTGTCGACACCATTACTCTAACTTTATCGATCTCTCTGCCACTGCGTTTCCGACTGCAGCTTACCTATGTCCATGCTCAATAGAGGGCGAAAGGCACCCGCATTTGCCGGCGGCTTTTTTACTCAAACGAGCGTTCCTGGCGGTGACTTCCAGCCAACATTCCTTGGCACCTTGTATAGTGTGTTTATTCTCCCATTATGGTCAATTCTCATGTTTTGATGTCATTTGTCTCCTGATCTCCGTAGATCCTACTATCGTCGTCGTGACCCTTGCCTGGCACATTTGGATGGTAGCACCACACACTCCGGCAGGAATTCTATACACCAACACGGTGAGTTCAGGTGTTCGCGTGTCCTTGGCAGGGCTGTCTTGCTCCCGGATGCCGCGATACCGATAGCCTCCAAATCCGGGCCTGTAGCTCAAGATGTACTACGTAGCAGACCGTCGGTGGCTTCTCAGACAAGTGCTTGCTTTACCCACACACACCTCCACACCCTACGTGTAACTAGCCAGCTGGACCACATGCAAATTTACCCGCCCCTGCGCATACGTACGGTAACCTACATCAAGTAGGCGGTTGGGCGGGTATCATGACCCCTCCTGTCTTACATAGTGCATACGCTTTGGCTAGGCTTGCGATATGTCGTTACCACTGGGCCGAGCCCGGTCTCACCCAGCCCAGCCAAAAGCGAGGTCCGTGTCGTCCAAAGCTTCCTGGTATTTCCCTTTCCTCTCTCCTGACCTCTCTTCCCTCGTCCTCGTTTCCTTTTACTACCCATCTTCCTTATTCTCGTAAGGTTCCGCATAAGAGAGCTACCAAGGGAGCTGGCCAGCTCATACCTAAATGACATTCCTCACGATCACCGCCACAAGATCCCCTCGCCTCTTCCAGCGTGACCGTCATGGCTGCGTCACTCCTGATCACTCCGCGCTACAGCGCTGAGGACTTTGAGACACGTTCAATAGTGTCAGCTGCACCATCATACAGTAAGTCCTGCCGCCGAATAATCCAGCTCTCCGCTCATTGAGAGCCCCTCCTCATCGAGTCCTCACCAGCCCGTGAGCTCCACGGACGCTCAACACATGAATCGACGGGACTAATTTCTTGCCAACAGGATCCGATGCGCCTTCATACCACTCGGCTGACTTACACCCCGATATTCTACCCGCATACACTCCTCCGGCAAACCGCAACGAGGCGAACAATTCGGCCCGCCGCCGACGCACCGCAGAGCAGCCCCCCGCCTCACAGCAGCAAACCATCGGCCTCCCACCTATTCCTCCTCTACCCCGGGCTGGAGCTCCCAATATTCACAGCTTCCGCATTCCCACCTGGTCGACGCAGAATGCACCCGCCGCGCGTCAGCTCCACAGTGTTGTTGAGCGACGTCTAAATGCTGCCTTGGCGGAGCGGAGCAACAGGAGCACCCCTCGATACCACACCTTGTTGGCCGATGCGTCGTCATCTAACCAGAGCAGACCGCTGGAAGATCCGTATCTCGTAGGTGAGCAGGCCGCCGCCCAGGCCCGCCGTGATCGGATGAACCGTGAAACTGGAGACGATATCCTCATAAAAGAAGACCAGCACTGGGACTGCTTCCTCGGTTCGTCGCCCCTTACTTTCCTATGACCCCCCATTTCTGCCTTGGTTATAGACCGCCGAACTGACTTTCCACTCATTTTCACAGCTCAAATGAGGGAATGGGATGCGCGAGAGAAGAACTGGGCCAAGTTTCGCCGAGACGTCGATACGGGTAGGCGCCGCAGGATTCTACGCCGTATTGGCGGCTAATACTCTGAGAATGAGATCTGCCATAACCCCGTTTTCTTTTCTTTTCTTTCCTTCTTTTGTGCTCCGCCTGGAGCGGCCATTCAAACTCCCCTCCTTTTCTGTCCGGTTTCCTCTTACCATCTTGGGCATCTTGGGGCTTTCTTTTCTCACGCAACTGGACGACATGACCGCATGTGCCGGCGCATACCATGTAGACGGGGTTGATTTTTAGGTCTTTCCTTCTTTCTTTGCTTATTCTTTGGCTTTTCTGAGGGCCGCTTGGCGATCGGCATAGGCCTTGCCATCTTGCATGTCTCCGGCGCTCTTGATTTTTGCGTCATTATATGTGTACTTCCCCTGTTTTGTGGAATGTGCAAAACCAGGTTCCTAGCTAGCACTGGTGATTAGCTTTAGCTCTGAAGAAATATGAAACGCAAAAAATTGAACGTATTCCATGCGTGTCCACCGGTGATTGGAGTCGAGGACGAGCAGAGATGGTACGATGTGCCACTATAAATCTGGTTATGCATTCAAGCTCGGAATCCGACAACTATCATCCACCCACTACTTGCCAGTTTAAATATACACAGTTCCATAACGCCATGCCTTATGCACTTCTTTTGCCCGACACTGTTCTGCCACACTCCAGGAGAGAAGAAATGTGTTGCTCCCAGTAAGATTCTACAAGGGGGTACAAGTTTGTTTATAATGATGTTGGCTCTGGCGGCGCCGGCTTAACCCTTGCTCTTGGTGTTGAGGATAAGAGCAACAATCAGTCTATCAAGTATGTTAGTGCCGTGTTTTCGAAGTAATGTAAAGAGCTAGTTTCATACCCGTAGAGACCAAGAACTTCGCCGAAAATGAGGATCAAAACCATGCCCACAAAGATGCGGGACTGTTGCATAAAGGCTCGGACACCAGTGTCACCGACAATGCCAATGCAGTACCCAGCGGCAAGACCAGTCATGCCGACGGCAATGCCACATGCGAGATGCATGAAGGATCTATTCAGTGTTGTTAACACCATCATCGAGTATCTTATGTTGTCGTATTACGTACGTGAAAAGGTCATATTTCTGTTGCGACGGGGGAGACAGATCCTGAGCGATGA